TCAACAGGACTGGATCTCCACTACGTTGCCGCATTTTCGCATTCTGCGGCTTCATGGTGTAAGCTGCCATCAAGCACGTGAGTAACCTGAGCATGCCTTCATGCGCGTTATTTTTGGGGTAGGCAACCAAACCTCGGCTGAACCACTGCGATCTACACACGTGAATATGCACACACTGTCGAAAATAGCATTGCCGAAGTCGATTACCAATTGCGAACCTCTACCAAACGAAAGTGAGTAGCAACCACGTAGGCGTACATCTCAGGGAGTGGGTGTCGTACATCAGTCCTGACAAGAAGTGCAACAGCATGCATTTACTCATTTCGGGTGATTGGCAAGCTCACGTCTCGTTCAAACTTGCCTTCTACTATTGGCAAACTGTTGTACGCTTAGGTATCGCAACACTTTCAAGTGGCTAACTACGTGATGACTATAGCTGGATACACTTCTACCGTGCTCGTACCCAAGTGTCTGACACAGCCGTCTATCGGTTTTTGATATTTTGGCGCGGTTAAATGGGTCAGGATACTCAAGTCCAGTAAGGGCAAGCGAACACGAATTATACAAATACCGACAGACTGGAAAGTGCTGGTCCCATCCTCCGAAAGTAGATACAATCTGTGAAGCATGAATGGAAGCGGAAATTCGGCTTCCAGGTGTATGGGTAGGCAAGGAAGAGGATGTCAGGTCGAGCAACGAAATCATTTATTTTCCTGAGCCTTCGAGGTCCCGCAGGTGTCCATCGTCAGATAACAAACAACAGTTACAGGAGGGTATTAGTCAATCCACGATCAATACTGCAGGTCTGGAGAGAATGTGGGAACCCAACTCCAGGCGCATGTTGCAACGCTGAACCTCTCACGATTACTGGTACGTGCGCACCCATTTCAGTCTGGTTCTCGGCCACTGCCGGATGTCTAAACTGGCCAATCATCTTCGAGGTTGACTCAGAAATGACCTCACTGAAGGTGCTCGGCGACTGCCCCACTGTCTCACACAGGCAGGCTCGCCCTCGCCGACGGCCAACTCTTTCCAATCCACTCTCCAATCATTCTGTACAGAACACACTAAATTTTCAACTGGCATACAACCCCTCTTTCTATAGGAGATTGCGTCTGGAGGTCGTAGTGGCTAGGGTCTCCCCTACGGCTTCCGCTGTTGCGACAAGGACTGTGCAGAGCTCTGTATGCCAGCAGAGGCAATCTGGACAAAAGCGCGAGACTGAAACGGCTACTTCTGACCTTGTTCCCGTCAGCTGTTGGAGATAAGGTCGGATCTTATTTCGTAGCCGTACCTGAGATAGACAAGCCTCAGCCTAACCCCTAACAGGTACGGCAATGAAATAAGGTCTTGCCTGAGGCTTCTCAACACCCTCCCAGCAACCCTCTAGTCTGGGACCGAGCGTATAAGGAACTAGCCAGTAACACAGCGATGTCTCAGAAAGTCAACAAAAACGATCATCAGATCGTCCACCTCCCATGTCCCCATTTTCGTTTTAGCAATTAAACCTCCAGCAGAAATGTCTGGTGTTTATGAAATGACTATTTACTGCATCCTGTAGTTTATAATCGTCACTGCTGTTTCTACGACAGTTCTCATTAAATTTCGTCATGGTCAACGATTTATTCAGCTCTTATTGGTCATAGGAAACCCTGGAATCTCGTGTGTTGGCTGCTTAGTAGGCAATAAACCGCTCGTGGGCTTATCCCGTGTTCGACAGGTTATTGATTTGACAGAAGGCACGAGGAAGCGCCTTACGCTAACTCAGTGGAGCAGTACGCGCTGATTGGTCAACTGACTCTACGCTTGGATTTTGCGGTCAGTTTGCCCTGCTGTGTTGTGCGTGGCCGCGTTAGGTCCTGAATCCACCATCTTTCCGCCCCTCGTGATTGGAGTCCTACCAACTACTATTAATAGATAACCCCCAGTTTTCACACATCTCCTCAGCCCCCCATCAACAGGGTAATGAAATGGCTTGGTTCATTAGGTGGAGATTGAAGTACTAACCGATGGCTGAAGTGGGCTACGTGACAAACTTACGGCATCGAAATTAAGCCTTGACCGTGTCTACAATAGGCGGCGCATCTTATGCCACGTTAACAAAGATTCTGAGATGCGATTTAGATTAGACAGCACTGCGTAGGTGGAGTTGCAATGTTGATAATCAGCCACGCTGAGATGCCGGCGCACCCATCAATAAAATTTAATCTGGAAGAAGAGTAATCCGGATCGCACCCCTTTCTGGATGTACTTTTAAGTAGAAGGCCTGACGGTAGTATTCGACGTGGGAAGACGTGATCCGGGCAATACACCAATTTTTGGAGTTGCGTACCGTTAAACATGAAGCGCGATTTAGTCCGTTGTTTAACACAAAGAGTAAGGAGGATCTGCTCGGCTGATAGCATTGGGAAAGAACCTAAGATTGTAGAAAATATCTTTCGCCAGAACGGGTACCCCGGTCGATTCATTGCCAAATACATGGCCGAAAGACCACCCAAGCCCCCGATGCTGACGACAGAAATGAAGAAACTTTTCATCGGGGTCCCGTTCCAAGGGGACGCGCTAAATGAACTTTTAAGAAGGCGTCTAACTCAAACCGTATCGCGCTCCTTTCCAGTAGCCGACGCCTGTGTACCCTTCTCCACTGGACGACACAAAAAGTCGAGCCAAGCGGTCTGTCCCACTTTACCTTCGGGAGACAAGACTGGCTGAAACTATAATTCGAATAACCGTCTCTTTTTCCTTGTCGTCATAATGCATATTCTGCCAACCTGTCAACAGCGCCGACTCATTCACTTGCTCCTGTGGAGCAGGATACATCGGCCACACAACGAGACGCCTGGTAAAGAGGGTGCGTGAACATATGCCCGCCTGGCTAGACAGAGACGAGACCCGATCGATTTCGAGTTCTATTCTCGCGCATTTAATCGATACGAACCACCGAGTCGATGCCAAGAAAGCATTTCAGGTTGTCTACCGGACACCAACATGCTTCTCTAAAGGCCTACGCCAACAGATACTAGCAACGGTCAAGGCAGTAGCTATACGACTAGCGAATCCGGTGTTATGCTGTCAGAAAACCCTGACACAAGCGCTCTCTGCCGTGGCCAACGTCAACCCCAAGTGATGACGCCATGCCACCTCAAATCCCTAATTACAGTGATGGGTACTCAATCCAAGAACATCACCCAAAGACTCTCTTACCCCCCTCCCCTAGCTCTGAGGACCAACACCCGCCAACCTTGTCATGCGGGCGGGGTGGAGATGATGAGTGTTAATAACTTAATAGCCCTTGAGACACCTATAATCACTGTTGATTTTGTACATTTTCATTCCGTCATGTAATTGTATTGGCCTGGCGAAGAATTACAGAAAACACGTATTCGCCAACTTTACTTTTCAGAGGCAAGAGTTGGAGTTACTGTACTCCGGAAGCTTGAAAAACAACCTGCGAGCAGTATGGGTTCAGGCGACAATTCCGATCCAGTCCTATCAATTGGACAGCACTGACCTCAGAAATCTTAGCCACATGTTCGAACCGCCAGTCGCTAATCGTTGGGCGACGCATCATTCGGATACTACGACTTAGCTGACCATGCAGCATAATTGGGTACACGTACAGTATGCGACGTAACTTGTCAGGCGTCATGACAGAAACCGAAGCTACCAATTCGAAGCACCTAAAACGTTATGCACTTCACTTGCTCGCCTGGCCCGTCCCACAAAAGGTCCTTTGCGTGCAGAATGTTTGTGAATCATTTTATCGGTCTAAATGCTTGTAGGTCTGAGCTGAAATCTGTGCTGCACTACATTCGGGAAATTTTATATGCCACTAATTGTCCTAGACCTATTTTGCGTATCTGAGCTTGTTTTCCTTCCAGAGCAGTATCATTTTAACTGGACAGTCTTATCAAACAAAACCTGCCTCACTTGAGGGTAGATTATTTGTCCGCCGATAGCCTTATGAAGCAGGCCGCGGATAGACAAATTATCTATAGACAGCCAGTCGTTTTAGCGACTTTCATATCTATTTTGCATATCTGTGTGACTTCGTGCTCTGAGGTGCAGTACCGACGCTTACGGGCAACCTTTTGTTCGGACGCGCCGACACCCCCTCGGCAATTGTGAATGTGCTGAGCTACCGTCAAAATGGCCATCAAATGGTCGTCCCACCAGCCCCATCCGACGCGGAGAGGGCAAGGACAAATTCCCAGCCCAGACCACTTCTATGTGTATTTACTCCTTCACATGCTCCTGTAGGGCAGAATATATTGGTCGTACGAGCCGGTGGTTGTCCAAAAGAATAAGAGAACGCCTTCCAGCATGGTTAGGAAAGGGCCAAATAAAGAACGTTAACAGCCCTATCCTCGCCCACATGGTAGACACAGATCACTGTGTGGATGTCAGACAGGCATTCCGAGTGATCTACAAGGTCCCGTCAAGCTATCCAAAACCACTTGAACAGCGTCTGTTGGCAACAGCAGAGGCGACTGCATGCAGGCTATACAAGCCAGTTCTATGGGCACAAAAGAACTTCGTACAGGCCCCATAGTTACCATGGCCCAAAGCCATCATGCCAGCCACCAGCCGCCCGTCCCAGTGCCCACCATCCCCTTCTTCCCCGACACTGACGGTAATTTTGCCTGCGAAATCATACTGCAGGTTTTGGGCGGACGCATCATGAGATACGTTACCTGCTGAACGGAGTTAGCCAACATAGTAAGTGTTTCCTAAATCACTTGGGCAGTGAAGACTCCGCCAAGGTACGAGACAAGGATTTTACTCTCAACTACACTCCTTGAGATGCAAAAGTACAGCTCCTGACACGGTTATTAGCCTGCGGAAATCACTTTATTAAAAATATGCACGGCGTGGGGAGGGAGGGGGCTAGGTCTACTCCCAAGTAAACAGGTAGGAGGTGATGAAAAAGGAGGTGAGATACACATTGTACAAGTTGAATCACAGACGGCAGTTCTACCGGGACTGGTGGGCTGCAGCAGCTAGCTGGGGGCCTTCCGACCGAGCAGCTTGTTCATCTGACGGTTCTGTTCCACGGTAGTGGTGCTCACACGATCGATGGCTGGCTGCAGTCTGTCCAGTTGCTCGTTCTGCGCCTTCAGTTCCGTATTCATGGTGGAGGCGAGTTCCTTAAGGCGAGCCATGCCGACAGCCATTTGTGACAGATTATTGTCAAACTCGGCGTCGGCCTGGGAGGGCGCGGTCATTGTTGGCTGGAAAGAGATCAGGGGTGAGGGGAGGGGAAGGTGACTGCTCAGTGGAGCAAGACGACACAGCTAAAATTCAAGTTCTGACAGTGCGGTGGAGGAGGTAAGACAATCGCCTCTAAGGATCATTACTGGCTGACTCCGACCACCACTTCTGAGGCCGTCATGGCTGTCGGGTAGGAGGCAGTGAAGTGAGTAGCGGGTGTGGGATAGGGGTCTGGCCAGGGGCGCATTCGGGTAGGTTTCAGTCAACTGAATACTTGTCCGTCCTGTGCAGCGACAAGTGGCAACCAAAGAGGCGTCATGAAATTTTCTGACATTGCCAAATCCTATCGCGGGAATGGGCGTTCACCGATCGGGTTACATGCCCTAGATTGAGCACCAGGGTGCAAGAGGACGAGCACGTCCCATAACCCCTTTTCGTGAACGCTCTTCCCACGATAGTTGTTGCTTGCGATCGCAACCGGCCCCTGGGTCAACAGTGGAGCGCAGGACTATGAATAAGGAGTTCGGGTTCGACTCCCAGGTCATCCATACCTAGGGTTGGGTATGGCTGGCTGACGACGGCTAATTGGTCGGAAATTGCTATATCACTCTCGCTCGTCTTTGTCGGCATTTCCTCCCTAATAAATTATGTATTCATTGGAATTCGTGCCTGCACTTAATTTATGTCGGAACCACGTTGTTTTGTGCTCTGGTATGTCTCAAAAAAGAGGATTACCATAGTACTTGTACTTGAGACGGCTGCGATCATGCCTGATCTAGCCGGCCTCGATGATGTCACGAACTGTACCTCTCCACGCGTGAAGATCCGCGGCAAACATGCACGTTGTACTGATCAGGGCTGCGTGCGGTCAGACTTTGGGTACCGGGGTCCAGGAACATTCGCACATTCCAGCATCCAATACCGAGAGTCCGTCCCCGATTGAGTAGTCCAGCTCGCATACTATTCGTCCGCACCACCGGACCAGGGTTGCGGAGAGCGTCGGTTCCCGTGGACGCCGTAGCATGGGTCGTAATACTGTGATCGGACATATCTCGTGAGGTTTCTTGGGAATTTCGAATACGGGCGGATCCCCAACGGCCGCTGGGGTTGTTTGTTCGAGGTTGTCTCCTCTAGCGCTTTGGCTTCAAAGCCTAACCACAAGACAGCGGTGGCAAGCAAACTTATTTAATGGCGGTTTACGGTCGCCATGTCACAATGCCGTCATTGGGTTTTGCGGCTGTCAGAGTGCCAGACCGCAGCCCATCGCACCCTAGTAACAATGTAGCTGCTGGCCCGCGACTGCTTATTCGTCAGACCGGGGTCTGTTTAGTTCGCAGCTAACCTTAAATGAAGATAGTCCCACTATCCGCCACCTGTGGAAGCGCCGGATAGCCAGCAGGTAAACTACCGGGCACCCCATCTTCCCGTCGGATGAAAAGTCCTTCACTACTGAGACTACCAGACGCCGTTCTACCGGGGAGCGGCTCCAGTAAGGTAGGCATCCTCTGGCCACGACCAGCAGAAATCTCATTGCATATCCAGAAGCAACAGCTTATAAAGCGATATGAGCCCTGGTCAGTGCTGACAGGACTAGTCTTTAGACGTAATTGCGTCTCAGAGATCGCTGGAATGTCCGCACACACCATTTAAACCGGCGCACGACGCTAAAAATGACAGAAGGCTGGCAGAAGCAAATATGAGCCCCTATATAAATCTTGTACGTACTGGGGAATTCGTCAAAGACACAATCTCTTGCCACAGAAACGACGCAATAAATGCCGCGAAAGGTGAGTTTGACTCTGCAAACGGAAAAAAGATTTCGTCCAGATGGCAGACGTCAAGTAGATGGCCAATACACTGTCCACCAATAACTGTCTATAGTTGTTAATGATGTTGTTAGGCCCGATCTAAGTGGTCCCAGTTACGCTGCAGACAGTACTTAACCAGGCGCAATTATCAGTACTGACGGACTCGGAGAACCCTACTAATTCATTTCTCCAGTGGTGAAGACCAAATATTATAGGTCGGGGGACTGACTCCATGTCTTAAGAAATTGTGTCAAGCCAGGTTTTGGGCGGACACTTTTCTAGTCGCCTTCACTAGTGTGGCGGCGTTGGACTTGGGGCGTCAACAGCGAACTCGCAGAGCGGGTGACGCAAAGTGCACCCAACCATCATAGCCGCCTCTGCCTTGGATGGCCTCGGGGTATGCTCGCGAAGTTGTCGCAACGAGGGTGGGCGGTCACATTCGAAACAGAGTTGGCGTATCTCAAAAGTGTTAAAGGCTTGCCGTATTCGCTAGTCCTCGTATCCATGCGCACAGCCCACTATTCAAGACCGTACAGAAGAATTACACCGAATCACAGTTGATTGTAAGAGATAGTATCTCTGAATACCTACACTGCTGACTTAATTCCTCTACACCAGGTGGGAGGTGCACTTTAAGAACGTGAAGAACCAAAACAGCCTGAAGGTGGCTGTAATTTCAAGCTTTTGGAAGAAGGATGCTGTCCAATCTGCGGAAAAAGATCCAATTTATAACAAAGCTAAAAAAGATTCCTATTGGTTAAACAGGCAAACATGTTATCATCTACATGCACAAGGGATTGACAACTCACCTGTGAATAGGACCGAGATGCGAAGTCGGATGATCGCCGGAAATCAGGCTGTATTGGGGGTGGTACGATGCTGCTCAAATTAGAATCAGTCCGAGAGGGGGGAGGGGATTTTGGGATTGATTCCGACTGTCTGAAGAGCCATAGGAAAAAAAATTTTGAAGTTTGCACAGGTCATGAAATATCACACGAGCAGGGCACAGGATAGCGTACCTGGACGACGACTAAGAGCGCTTAAAGTATGAAGAGTATTTAATCTGTTTAAACTCGGTGTGACATGGAAGGTAATGCGCGACAGTGATATGAAACGGTCTAGGGGGCGCGGAATTATGTAAGAAAGACACGATTCAAGTATACTTTGGCAGTCTATGCAACTGTGTCTTTTGCAAGAACAGGCGCGCTCCGCAGCTCTTGTGGGCGTAATGAAAGTATTAGTCCTTCGAGAACACCTCGTAGGAAGTAAAAACCGGAATTTGAGAAAGCCCTTTGACCCTCATCATATCCACTGCCCAGTAACACGAGTTTCATGAAGAAATCGTGGCTGTCTGTAGCTTGTCGACGTACGAGTCGAAGACCCATTCTTGAAAAAATGTATAAATAAACTCTTTCGCTGCGGCCACCACAATGGCCGAAGTGACTCCTGTGATAGACACGACGTGGCGATCGCCCTCTCGGGACAGGCGAGGCATGTATTTGTGGGGAAGTCTGTCAATAACAGGCTAGCGTGCGTACGAGTGGAAGGTCGCTTTACTAACCAACGCCGATCGCGGACCAGCGCGGTGAAAACGCGCCTCACCTACAGCAGTGAGACCTGGTTGGAAAGTTCTCTCAGCTGGGTTGGTCAATGCCTGCCAATGGCTGGAATGCCCGGACTGTGGTCAAACGGATTTTCAAACAACCACTGAATCAGTTACTCTGGTCCTCAGTGCGACAGTGGCAAAGGGTTGGTGAGGTTTGCTGACCAAGACCAGCTGTTTGTCGCCAGCACGTGCTATCAGCATCATCGCAAACATCTGCTGACCGTCATGCAGCTACTTAGTCTGACAGCACTCTAGTTCGCTCAAGGGTTGATAAGTGCCTGCCTGCAGACTGATAAGTGGTGTCGCGACCAGCAGCGTCTCCGAGTAAGGACACGTTTTGTTTCGCTCAACCGAAATGCCTTGTGTCAGACGTTGGTTGGGATGTCGGTGACCGGCCTCCTTATGCAGGCCAAATCGACGGAGGCAACGGTCGGTCTGCATCATTGAAGGGCACTGCCTATGAAACAGTAGAAAATATTCAACCAACAGCCTCGCAATGACCGAATTAACTTAAGAACTCCGCAGCCCAGACAACCCAGCCGGCTCCCTCAGTAAGGATTATTCCTGTCAACTTCGCAGATATGTGGATTCATATCGCATAATTTTTTCCTTCCGGAAATGAAGTTAAGACTTTATCAAATGTTTGTTCTTCCAGTCCTCGAATACTGCTGTCCTTTCTTTGGTTTAATGAACGCCTGTGATCGTAATAAAATCGAAAATGTTCAGAGGGTTTTCACCCGGAAACTGTTCTCTCAAGTCGCATCCGGTGCTTCTTTTACTCAGAGATGTCAGTTGGCGAACATCAAGTTTTTGTTGGTTAGAAGACTCGAAGCTGACCTTTGCTTCCTTTTTCGCATCAACTCTAACTCCATTCTTCCGCTCATTGACACTCTCACTCCGAGAGATCGGTCTTAGGCCACGCGCAACTCCTCCATGGTGATTCCGCCGCCTCTTTGCACTACATCTAAGCACTCCTTCTTCTTTGCTTCCAAATATGCCTTCCTTTGGAATAATCTTCCGCCTGAAATTAGGTCATCGCCTAAGTTACTGGTATTCAAGTCGAAATTACGCAAACATCTTACACCGGAAGGCATAAAGGCACTGTTAACGGTCTTAATTCCCGAACACTCAGCTTTTTGACTTCGAGAAGGGTTCTCCTGGGATTTAATGGTAGATCAAGTGGTAACCCTCAATTATGTCATTAGAAACCCGTTTTGAATTGGTTTATAAATCCACTGCAATCACTCCTCCCCTATTGCGACGATTTTCGCGGTTCTTGATGCCATCTCCCGCATTTCGACCTCATGCGGTTTGTCGACGCTCACGGCAGAACCCTCAGTATTCACCGTCTACTAGTAGTTCGGTCGTACCTCCCTTTCCCACTCCTCGGCTGGGCTCGAAGCGTACTGTGGCCGATCGCGTCTGGGTTCCTCTCGTCTGGCCTCTTTGACGCGAATAGTCTCATCCGGCATATCAATCCTGCCCTGACGATGTCAGTTCTGAATCCCGTATACAATAACACATGCAGACCAGTCCTGTCCGACCCGCATACGTACCCCTCAAGGCTGACATTCATTTCTGCTCTGACGATGTCCGATTTTAATCCGTTATACGCCGCCACACGGAGGTCATTCCTGCCCGCACTTTTGTCGTTTCCTGAGCGACAGTTTTTTTCTCCAGTAAAATTAATCCAATCATTTTTAATTCTTGAGTGGAGTTTTCTTTCACCATTCGCTCGTCATTTTGCTTAACGGACTACAAATTCAGAAACTATGAATCGCACTTTGTACAGATTCCGCCTACCTCGTCTGAAATTCGCATGTAAATTTATTTTTACTTGCTTTGATGGGACCCCGATGGATCTTTAATAAAAAATTATTATTATTATTATTAGTTAGAGAAGAGAGCATGAACGGTTGGGTCGAAGTAGCGATCATCATGAGTCAGGCCTTAGACGTCCGCCCAGTTATTGGTGGGTTTTCCGCCCTCAGTGCCTCTGTTTGCGATGCTAATGGTAGCTTTATTGCTGACAAGAGGACCAAGGCCAAATATTGGCGTGACCACTTGGAGTGCCTTGTTAACTTCGATGACAAACGCACCATCCCACTCTTCCTTCTTTACAGCGGAATTTTACAATTCTCAAGTCAATGAAGTGATTCATGACCCCCCCCCCCCATGGATGAGATTGCTGATTCGATGCTGAGACCGTGAAGCAGATCTGGGAGGACCGCAACCGTGCCGAAGTCCGAGTCTTGCGTCTACTCTTCGACGTCTTGGTTACATGTAGCCGGGCGTGCATAGGCAGATGACATCCGGCCTGATGACTGGGACTCTGATATTCTCGAGTGTTTTTTGAGAAGAAAAGACGAGTTCTATGGGATTTCGGTCGCTCAAACCATTATGACACTTGCTTGAATCAGGGTGGTGGTACAGTTTAGTCTTCTAGACGATAGAGATAGCTGGACTGCGTTCTGACCCAGTGAAATGATGGACTTGTCAGGCAGCGCGTCTCAGCACTCTAAAATACTTTGATGTCGTCGAAGAAATAGAGGACGCAAATTCCTGTAGGCAGTCTGGCTACACATATGGTGGTTGCACTTTTCAGCAGCGTATGGGGATGTGTAAGACAGGTTTTCGTGATGTGAGTGCCTCGCTTGAGAGGGTAGGAATACCGTGTAACGCAGACAACGTCCGACTCAATATTACCACCGTGAAAATAAAGAGTACGCATCGCCAGTAATTGTATGCCTATGTTTCTGTGAGTGCGCACGTTCCGGCCAGCAACACGGATGCTCTGTTATGCTGAAGAAAAGCAGGTGCAATATCCGACACCTGACTCACTAGTGAAGGTCAGGACGCATAGGTCTTAGCGAATATCGTATTCCGTATCTTGTGACAGGGACAGAGTGGCGTCAGGCTCGGATGGACGCCAGTGTGCTGTCATTAGAATGATTTAAAGTGGATTCCAATTCATGTCGGTTGAAAGACAAACACATGCGGGAAAGATGAGGGAGCGGGGCGAAGCGCCTAGTCAGTGTCACCTGATTTCATCCGCAGCCAGATCGCGTCTCTGCCCGCCTTCCTCATTGTAAGCTCACGGACGCGCTTTTAGGCATTTATGGCTCTTGGAAAGTTGCCAATTGGCGGTATGGTCGGATACGATGCAAACAGGAGGTTTGAATGCACGAAGTTTGGCTAAGTGGAGGAGAGCAACCAAACATTTGAGATGAAACAGAGACAGAGACGAATGCTGAGTCAACTGCGGCGCCCAAACACGTATCTATTTGTCCTCATCGGGTCTTGTTGGCAGAGCATGATGTGAACGAGAGAGGGGAGCGAAACCGACGCGATGCATGTCTTCCCCCACGCGTAAGGTATTACTGTTCTGCTTGAGTGGTGACGCTCATCGTACAGCACGAACGAATTACCGAGAATAGTCAGAGGTATGCTGATAGAAGCGAACAGGCGAGTTCCAGGAAGCAGTTCAGAAGAAGAAGAAGATGCGATCACTGGAACATGAAATTTATTGGCCTGACGTTTCGGATTCCACTCGAACCCATCACTAGACACGTCTCTGATGATGGGTTCGAGTGAGAATCCGAAACGTCAGGTCAATAAATTTCTTGTTCCAGTGATCGCATCTTCTTCTTTTTCTAGTCAGAGATACCCCTAGAACAAACATAAAGGGCTTTTGAGAAGTGGAACAGATAAACACCTAAGCCGAGTGACACCTTCTACGAGGGCCTATGACTGAGGGGTCGGGCCAACAAAGTCGTTGAAAGGCGATTCGACTCGGAAATTTAAAGGCGGTATGGAAGAAAGATATGCACTAGGCAGAAGTAGGCACCCTAGATACAAACGCTGCAAACGGCGTTGTCACGCGTGCGCGTCATCTGGTGGATTCTAGGTGAATTACTTCGGAAATCCTGCTTGCTGTATCAGATTTGGTAGATTCCAGACGTTGCAGTAGGTTGGGCGGGTAACTTGACCCAAATGTGATTAAACTCGCGTCGTCCGGCGGGGCCTCGTAGCTCGAGTGATTAGAGCGTTGGCTGTACTAAAGCCTTCCCCTTACTGCGTGGGTTCGAATCCCACCGAGGCGCCGAGTTTTTCACAGTTGGGTCAGTATGAATTATTCAAAATCTGTCAAAATATCAATGAATGGGAACTAATAATTTTGCTTTCAGACCAGATTATTTTTCAGAAAACTTTATGCAGGAAAGTAGCATGTGTGCGCAAGTCAAGGATAGAGAGGAAGATGGGCGACAACAGAGACTTACTTCTTCGAGAACAAATTTTTGAATCCACCAAAAAAACTGCTAAGGCTGTTAATTTGTTGTTGACTCTGCTTCTGAAGTTCATTAATTTCCTTGATGCGAGCCTCAGTGCGAGATAACTTTTCGCCCTGCTCATTGAGTTCATCCAGAGTGCCCAAACCAACGCGTTCCGAGTTGGCTATACTTGCAAGTGCCCGCTGCTGGCTTGCAAGGGCTCTGGATTGTGGCGAATTAATGGACATCTAAAATCAATAAGACACTTAAACGACAAGCGCAGTTGCGAGGAAATTGACTCTACGGAAACCATAGTGGCAGAAATTGGGGTAATTTACGACTTAAAACAAATATGTGGAGGTTGGGCAGAGGGAGAGTGCGCGTTTTCAAATTGAGTAAAACTGTAAAAAGTGAATGTAATGAATGATTTCTGCGTCGGTCTGACGCAGTGCATTTTAGCGACAAGCCCCGACATAGTTTCCCATAACATAAAAGACAATCTCGACAAATTTTATAATAACAATGTGAAAAGTCAAAGGTGTACAGCAGTACTGTTCTGTAGAAGTCAAACAGTCGGAGTATCTCTTGAAGACAGATTTTAGTCCTAACTATCTGGAAGGCAATAAAAGGGCCGCGAGGCTGCCGCAATCTCGATGCGCAAGAGCCAAGGACAGCGGAAAAGAACCTAGCCTGAACACATTTCGGATAAAGCGAACAAAAGCCAGTCACCCGACACCGACCTCAATTCCGTAATTGCCATATTCCAGTGACATCATATGAAGAATCTTGGACGGGATTGGTGTACAAGTGTCCCGCAAACCTTCCAACATGCTGACACCATAAATTGGCAGCATAAAGGCAACCTGATCTACAATTTCAATTTTTGTGACAGGCATAAGTTGTATCGGCGAAACCTGCTATTCTTCTGACGTGATGCATTCTAAAGCAGAAGATGCCTGTTGAAAACACCGAAAACTGTCATAAAGACTGAAGGACTCTTTAGCTATAGTCCTATATGTTCCCGACACGGAACAATCGGTAGACTTAACCGATGCTGAGTTATTTTCTCCGGACATGGGTAAGGGGAACGCAATAAAAAACTGGTTGTCGAGACAGTTTTCATCGCCAAACACATTACGGCGTGTGACGAACAGAACTGTGTCTCGTACTTGATTTGAGACGTTCTACTGTAGGATGGCTAAACTCCATCCACACTTGCAACGTGATGGGTCTCGATTTCTGGGGTGAACAGGAAGTACCAGATCCTCGTAAGTGTACTCTAATAAACCAATTTGTTTCTGATAGTCGATATTTGAATCGGAAGTTATTTCTCAGGTGATTAAGAAATAATGCCCACATCATTGGTATTTGAGACCCATACAATTTTTCTTTGGGTAAGACGGCACAGTAAACGCATGTGACCACAAAAAGAAAGCCTGTTGTCCAATAACAACCGATAGCGAGTCGATGTCCTCCACAGGACGCGACAAGTGCATATTCAAGTGTCATTCGTGAACGTGATGACGCCACACCGAAAATCACTGGTTACTGATTTTAAGCGCGTTGCCACTAGGAGTCACTGCTGTTTGAGTTTGGTGAACGGTCGTACTATCTCGATATACTGCTGTAAATTTTCCTAACAGTTTAACATATGGATGACGTCTTTGCATTTGTTCATCAGGGGTCGCAAAGACATTGAGAAGACAAATGAGTAGGAATCTTGGAAAAAATGTACCGAAATGTAATCGATGACGTTCACAGGCATCGTAAGTTCTTTAATATGCATTTCGATTCATTATGCAAAGGTACGCTATACTCCGGTTCCTGCAAAGACGAAAGGATCATCTCGTCAAGCTCTAATTTCAATGGATGTGTCAGATCTTGCAGGAAGCCAGGCTCCAGTGTGCCGAACCACGCTGACGTGCATATGTCCGCGTTGTATGTGCATTTTGTGATGTACCCGTCCGGATTTTAATTTAACAAGTTAAGAAAGGAAACGCTTACGAAGAGTGCTAACGCTGTAAATTGGCTGGATTGTACACCGGAAAGGTCAGATGCATCGAGGAGGACCGGAGGTACAGAGAGGATGAAGACTCAACAGGCGACCAATATATAGCGAGAGATTTTACCGTTGTCGCCTGTAGCCTAGGACTTATGGCAAATTCTCCACTAGACAGCCTACACCTCGTTTGCCTATTTGTAAAGAGCCTGCTACAGTCGTTAGTTAAATGCCGCTGTTCTAAACTTACCAGCCACATGGAACTACACAATACTTAGGTTTTCCGGGGCTGTTAAAATAAAAGACCGAACGCAGACATTAAGCTCATGTTTGCTAACTGGATCTTCTCAACGAGGTAGAAGCTTAGACCACTTAAAATCATAGAAATGTAGAGTGTGAACCATTCGTCTTGAGACTTACGAGCATTATGGCCATTTGTAAGCGCTCCCACTCTCAGTTTGCCTAACCAAGGTCCTAACAGGTCATCACAAAGTATACACGCAACCAAAACGATACACTAGCCCAAATGCTCGGTTTTGACGGTCTGTTTACCGTGCAATTACGTGCAGTCCTTAATCGGCTGTAAGGCTATCACGGCAGTACATATACATAAAAGTTATGTAGAATGAGAGAGATTGAGTTACTATATTGAACAAAACAGAAGGTTGCACTCCACTTGAAAGAATAAGACCAGGTTCAATATAAATCTGGAAGGCTATACTTGATTTAATGTAGTGACTATGAATAGTACGTAATATTATTACCGTACCGAATTTTGTGTGTTTTCATGAAAGCCCCTATCATATGGATTTCCAGAGGCTGAAGGGCGTCCCCATGGGACCACATCCTGGTCAAAAGGATTCCTCGACATAGCCTCTGGAAAGCAAGAAGGTTATAACGACCGCCCTGGTGAATTGAAGGTTTAAAGAAACCTTGGTCTGCAAAAGTAATAAATTTAATCGAAGGCAAATAATATCCCGTTTCGCGATTTGCGAACTATTGACAGCAAACGATCGAAATACTGGAAAGTAATGTTGCTTTCTTAATAAAGGACAATGTCTATCGGGAAATACTTTTTTATCCAGTTATATAGTCGTCATTGTTATCAACCACTCTTCCTCAATCTGGAGCTAAATTTCCGATTTTCGCATTATAGGAGGAAGTCTGTTGTGACGTAACGAAGTTTGAGAAATCAGTTTCACCATTAAGACGTTTCGAAACTTTTTCTCTCCAGGAAGTGTCGCAGAGATCTGCGCGAATGATAATCAGTTGGCGCACAACCAAGTATAAGGGCAGATTAAGGGAAAGATCTTACCCTAGATTTCGGACTCCTTTCTGGTTGTTTCTGACCGAATACATTCTCGTTGGTATACAACAGAATGACGCCATTTCCATTGATAAGTTCTGGGCATTTAACGACATGTCTTTGAAATAAACATTCTAATTGCTGACAATAAAGGTCTGCTCACCGATCACGTTATGGAACACACTGGCTTCAGTGGGCGCTTCTTCGCTCTCGTACAGACGCGGTGATGACCGACGGGACGAAGAGACTGTATTTGAGTTGTTGAGACGTTAGTCTTCCAACCAACAGATCAGGGGATCGAGCCTCAGTGGTTGCAGGAGCTGGGTTTGGTATGGCTGGTTGATGGTGACTAATAGCCAAGAAATGGTCATTCTCGCCTACCTTGTCCTTGCCTGTAATTTTATTCTGTCCGCTGTTATGTTTTACTTAGCTACAGTAGCTCAATTTGATGTATGCCTACCATAATAAGACTTCCCTGGATGTGGGCCTGATTTCGACGTGGACACCGATTTCTGGCCTGCAGAAAACCATTTACATTTGCGTTTGTTATTAATAAAAATGATTCTTTTCTCATTTCCACTGAAAATTCGTCGATGAAATGGTTCCCTTATATGCTTCACTTAAAGTCACAAATTGTGGAACGTTGAACTTCGTTTTCAGTATCGAAAGATTGTGGGACCCAAACTCGTCCCCACTGTACGTCCGTATCTATTGAAGATCAATGCAAACAAATACCACGCTGAAAGTATCGCGCGTTTGGCTGCCCTTTGACACTGTGACGATGGTTTAAGGGAGGGCTTCATTAGGAAGCCGAGGTCCTTCTGTTCCTTAACACTTGAAAGGCCCTGCCCATTAGGGAGGTATTGGAATGATTAATCCTCCTTTCTAGTCTTTTTGGTGCGGAGTCACAGGACGCGCATTTGACCATATTAAACTTCAGGAGCCAACGAGCTGACCAAATGTTTAGCTGTTTGAGACTCTCTCGAAGCGCATACCTGTCTTCGTCAGATCTTATGGCTCTCCACACCTTAAGAGAATCAGTAAACGTGACAGCGTTTCATCCCAGGTCGATGACGCAGTCGTTAATGTAAACCATGAAAAGATAAAAAAAATAAATGGGTTATTTTATTGAACGACCCTTGGTGGTCCACTTATATCAAGTAAAATACATTTTTAAGCAAATTTTAAAACAAGTAGACAGATTCTATACAGTATTCAGTTCACGATCCCAGAATAAGTAGTCAGATACTTAAACCGGACAGTGAACAGTGAAAAAACTCCTTATTAAAAAGACAAAAGGAATATGAATGGGTTAGCTTTTAAGGACAGAAAAACTACCACTCATGAAAGGGTTAATAAGCGGGCCGAACAAGGCCAGACTGTGCATGGTATTGTATAAGGAATTCAAGACAGAAATCGTCACTGCAGAATTCCTAACCCATACGAGTTTCTCAGCCTCGAAGCAGCAAGATAAGATGAACCAAGCCGCGGTCGGTCACAGTCCGCTTAGGGTCCAGCCGATGAGGGGACAGTAAAGACTTGGGCAGTCATTAATGCGTAGAGGGGAGAATACGACCCTGAAACCTCTTCGCAGACGCATTAAGCTATTTTCAAATGACGAAAACAGGAGATCCTGCCATGATCGTCAACAGACCGCTTAGAGTCGAAATACGGATTCAACATCAAGAACAGCGAAAATAATGGATTGGAGGTGAGAACCAAATTTCTCAGAGGCCAGCGCGGATGTCTGGTGAGTGTCGGCGATCAGAGAAACTGGGGAATCTTAGAACGTCAACGTCAACCTAGCCTCGATACTAATTTGAGAGTATTTGTCAGGAGGGATATCACATTCTTTGGGGGACACAACGTATGAACTAAAAGGTCGAAAAAAATTAAAATTTGTGATGAGGGGTCCTGGGAAGCTAAACTAGGCATAAAAGAATGGAATGTAAGCGGATATGGAAATTTATTGGCAGCATCCCAAATTTCCAATGGCCCTTTTTCAGGGCCGTAGAGAAAGTTGTCCGGGAAGGATGAGGAAAATAAAAGTTTGATCGAGTCAGTGTTCAGATAAAGGCGCAACCTTCATTTAAATGCATGCAGACCGTCTGATGATCTTATATTTATTGGAAGGTTATTCCAAAGGAAGGTATGCTTGAAAGCGAAGAAGAAGTAGCGTTTATGTGTAGAGAAATTCTGAGGAGGGATAATCAAGTAAGAATTACGAAGACTGTATGGCGAATAACAGGGGTAAAGCCTGAAATCTGAGGTAGATCAAAAACATTGCTTAAGGCAAAAAAGGAGATAGAAGCCTGTTTCTAGTCTCCGTATCAATCGGACTTTTAGGTTAATTAGCTGGCATCCAACTGAGTAGGAAATATTTTGATGTTCCGTACGTATGAGTCTTTGAAAATTTTCAATTTTTTAACGTCTGGCCTCATTCATCAAACCAAAGTATGGGCAATAATACACGAGAATGGGAAGTATAAACATTGTGTAAAGTCTGAATTTACCTTCTGGAAGATAGAAATGGTAAGGAATATAGTCACAAATTTGGGCAGTTTTGGCTGTAATTCTGTCAGCGTGTGGCGAGAGATCAAGATCATTTCTGTTGCTTAAACCTAGATCATTGATGTTGGTACTTTCAGTCATTTGGGTGCCTTGAATAATCATTAGTTGGGGCAAAATAGCGGGTCCAAAACACATACAGCGACATTTAGACGGAGAGAATTCCATTAGCCATTTTGAACTCAACGCCGAAAGAGCAAGAAAGGCGGCATGGATTTGCTACAGACAATGAATGGCCATAGATTTATTGAATGAATATACACATTTGAGGTCATCAGCATAAATAAATGATTGAGAATGTTTAACTTTCCATGAGATATCATTTATCTAAAGCAGGAACAAGAGGGGACCTAAAGGGATAATTTGTGTAGGACACCACTTACAATAGGGCTCTCATTGAAAAATGAGGATCTGACTAACCGTTTGTTTACGATTGGAAGGTATGACTAAATAAAGTCAATAAGAGGGTGCGGAGTTCCAGAGCTTCTAATTTAATTAGAAGTTTTCCATGTAGCACTTTATCAAAGGCTTTACTAAGATAAAAATAAATAACGACAACAGACAAATGATCATTACGAAGAGAAGTTAGTGGATTGAGAGATGATCAATGACACGTTTCACATGAGCGATCGGGCAAAAAGTCGAGTTGGAAAGGGCCATTAACTTGACTGTTTATGCAAAAGTCCGAAATTTTTTGGCGCTATTTTTTAAGGATCTTGGGGAGAGAAGACGTTTTATGGATAACTCGATAGTTTTGAACATGAGAACGACAGCCAGGTGAGGGACGGTGGAATGGAGGGAGTTAGCTTTAGGCTTATAGGAGGTACCTATCCTAAGATTCCTTTTAAAACAAGTGACATAAAGCCACAAAAATTTCTGCATTAGTGTAAGAAAAGGTAACCGCGTCAGACCAATGGTTCCAGAAATATGTTGGTTAATACTTTGTTTGTGAGATCTATATGTAGGTGGACTCCAATTGTGCTTATCGTCATCAAAAAGAAAAGCAGAATGCAACAGTGAATAAGTACACGGTCACTTTAGAAGAGTTCGTGTGTGAAATCAACGAAAGGTGGATTGACGTCATTAGCAAAGATAAATTCTATAATGCAGCAATCTCCTGCTGGTGTGTTCGAAGGCCATCATCGTTCAGAAAAGTCGAAATCTCAGCAATTAATATAACGTCAAAAGCAGATTTCAAAACCGTTTGCGAAATTTCGCGAAGCTATACATCATTTTTGAAGGATGGACTTGTAGGATTGTAGGTGTAATTAAGAGTAACCTGTGTTCGCGACGAGGGGATTAGAGATACGAGGCAGAAAATTCCAGAGAACGGGGGAGCACTAAGTGCCTGCGGAAAGTGCGGTAGGTCATTTCATAATCCTGCCTCAACCTAATCATTACTGCGAAGGTTTTCGTGGGTGGCTAAATAGTAACCTCAAGAAAGAAATCAACAGGAAGCACAAATTGTGGAGAAAATATTGCGTCACTGGGCAAGTTGAATATTTTAACACCTACAAGACATAGAGGAACAAACTGAGGAACCTGATCATGAAAACGCGACGGGAATTCGAGAAGACATTGCTACAAAAAGCAACGCAGAACCCAAGATTACTCTACAGCTACCTCCGACGAAGTACAAGATACAGGCATCAAATCCCATTAATAAGGACTACTGATGGCGTTGATATTGCCGTTAGTAGGGATAAAGTTGCGTATTTTTCACAGTTCTTCCAATCAGTCTACACAAACGAGACAAGGTTCCTTCACCCTCCACAGAAGAACTGCCGACCCCAAGTGTCAGTGATATACTCTTCTCAGAAGGCATTGTCCGAAAAGAATTAGAAGCATTGAACGAATCGAAGTCGCCAGGACCAGACGAGATTCCACCCAAGCTTCTCAAGGAACTTGTCAGTGAGCTCTCTGTGCCTTTGTCGATGTTCTTTCAAACGTCATTTGACACTGAAACACTTCCTATCAATTGGAACCTGGCGCATATT